TAAGGAGATATCTAAGCCTCTTGATCCCATGCTATTAAGCTGTAAGCACCATCCTAGTGTTGTATTCAACACATGGAAAATATAACCTTCTTCTCATCCCTCGGCCTTAATTCTCAGGCGACTTCATCAATCTTAGTATGTACCACCACATGGTACTAAAAGTTCAAACTTAGTTTCTCCCTAATATGATAGTGAAATATAATTCCCAATTTTCAACCTCGGTTTAGGTCAAAAATATCCTTGATTTGTTAGGTCTCCATAGATTAGATACCTTATGATTACTAGCAATGATCATCTAATCAACACATGAATAAATAAATTAGTGGCCCTAGTAACCTAAAGTAATAGAACCATAATATCTTAATTAGGATCATATTCCACATGATAGTTTAATCCTCACTTCCTTGCATTCATTCATCCACTTTGAACACAAGTCTCATCACATTTAATAATCTATAATATATGGGATGGGGGGAGGGCGGGTAGGGTATATAAGTGAATCTTCAAATATTTGAAAGCATCAGTTGATAAAGTACTAACTTCTAAGAGAGAACTAAGGTAGAAGCTAATTATAAAATTTATGAATTTTGATTAAGTTAAGGATCTAGACAAGCTTGGATTGTTGACTAGTTATGTGATGCAGCACATTATATAGATGAAAATAAATAATCTAAAAGCTTGATTTGCAAGAGCTAAGATTAGAGCCTAAGAAAAAGATCAAACAAAAAGCCTAATCGTAAGAGCTCAATAAAGAGATAATAGTTTTGAGTATTTCATATTTTATTTTTTAGCTAGAAGCATATATGGTGAACCATGATATGGGTTGGTATGAATTCATTATTAAAATAGCTGAATGATACTCTTTCTTATTAATAACAACATACCCTCATTTTCCCTTTCCTTGTTTTCCCTTTTTTCCTTTATTTTTTCTTCTAAAAGTGGTTTCCTAAAAGTTTTGAAAAGCATATAAATATGGGCTAAAATGCCTAATAATATGTATTGATAATGAAATATTTTTGGTAGAGAAGTGGTTTTATTTACTTGATGCTTCAAATAATTTGCCTATATTTTATGAGTTAACTAGTTATCTTGATATTTTCTTTTAGTTAATTGTTATCCATCTTAAACACATCCTCCAATCTATTTCTCCCTTTTATAAGCATTGTCTAATATCAATAAACTAGCAACCAAAATTTTACAATCATTCCAAATACTTCCACATAGCTATCAACTCAATTAATGAACACTTAGACCTAATCTTGACATCCTCTTAATCTCCACCAACTCTACCATCATTATCCATATCATAAATTTCACCATCATTTTTAGCTATTTATCTCACATAAAATCTACTCTAAAAAGTGATATTTAAATTAGTTCACCCTAAATTACATTAGTCTTGACATTCCTACGAATATACTCATATAAACTCATCATTTCAAAATAAACTCTAAAACACCTCTTTGTAAGTACGGCCTTCAAACTTGATATTGAATATTAGAAATAATTAAATTCACTGATAGGATTTCGCAAACCTGAATCAGATAGAAGGTTTTTTAAACCTACTTCTAGTTCTTTTGATGATTCTATTACTACTTGGCTTCTTTTATGATTTTGCTCTTCGTCATTTTTGTCGTACAACTCAAATGATTATGATGCTAAAATCGTGTGCAAAGTTAAATTTAAGTTTACTTACTAGCGTACACAGCTTGGACATTGATTAAAATAGAGGCATCAGAGTTAGCAGTCTCTAAATAGCGGTTCCCTAAATAGCAGCAGCTTCATGTACCCACCAAAAATAAGCCACAATTGTTCTAAGCTTGAATAAAAAGACCAACATCATCATGTCTTATCAATATATAGAAATATAATGAGCTAGAAAACAAATCTTTAATTCATTATTGCTTTTTGAATTATAGAAGTTAAATAAATGGCTATTGCTTAAGCTATAAAGGAAGGTATTTGGATGAAATGATTGTTATAATATATAGAGAAAAAGAAGATGAAAACTATTATGCGGTATAGAAGCGCAATTCAATTGTTGAAGAACTAGATCATAAAATAACAAAGCATATTAACATATGATTATATTTTATCATCAATGTTCTTGCTTGGGCTTCATTTCGAATAGCTTTCTTACTGCTTCTTAAAGTAGTTTTTTAGTACAAAAATTTTAATTTTTTTTGCAATTTTTTGCAAGAAAATTATTTTAAAAAGCAATAAGAAAGCCATCTCAAATGAAGCCTTAAGGTATGGCTCATGTTTAATAAGCACATATAGATGAGAATCCTACATATATGTTGACCAAAGTAGTATTTAGAATCAAATTCAAATATTGCTCGACTTTCCTTCAAGTTATATCTGCTATTTTAGTTTGAGTATTTGTGGCTCTTTATTATCTTATTCGCTTAATAATTCTGCTTGTATCATCTTTCTACATTAAATTAATTAAAAATATATTAAAAAAATGAAAGAAATAACTGTAAAAATAAAACTATTCAAACCAAAAGGAAATATAAATAAACTACTATAAAAACTTCAAATATCAAATAAAACCCTATTACTAAGAAGTTTGCTCTAGCGGCGATGGTCCATCAAGCAATCAGATATTCTTGGAGAAAAGTTAACAATATATAAGTTTGAAAACTCAAATCGATAAGTAATGACTATATATTAAAGAATAAACAACAAAGTATTAAGAGTTGCAATATAAATAATAAAAGAAGCACGAGTAATCATATAGGGGTGCAAACAAGTCAAGTCGAGCTCGAGCCAGGGGTATTTGAGTCGAGCTTGATTGTCAAATACCGAGCTCGAACTCAGCTCATCTCACCTCGAGCCGCTCGTCGAGCTCCGTCCCGACCAGGCTAGCAGCACGGGAGCTCAATAGTCGAGCTCCGTCGTCCCGAGCTCAATAGTCAAGCAAACTAGCAGCACACGAGCTTCGTTGTCCCGAACTCTGTCGTCCTGAACTTTGTCGTCTCGAGGTCAGTCGTCATGCTCCGTCGTCAAAATTTCGTTTCCTCACCCGGCTTCGATTCGTTTTCTCTCCTGTATCTCGAGATTTCGCTTTCCCACAAGGTCACCTCCACAAGCTGCTCGACGAGCCAACAAGTCATGCGAAGGTCTGTTCGAGCTTGAGCTCAATAAGTCATCGAGCTTGAAATCATGTTCGAGCTCAACTCGCGAGCTCAATAATCTCGACTCGTCGAGCCTGTTAACGAGTCAAGTCCTAACTGACTTGACTCGATTACACCCCTATAACCATATAATGATGCATGATCAAGTTTATCAAGTAAGGATTTCGCAAACCTGAATCAGGTAGAAGGTTTTTTAAACCTACTTCCAGTTCTTTTGATGATTCTATTACTACTTGGCTTCTTTTATGATTTTGCTCTTCGTCATTTTTGTAGTACAACTCAAATGATTATGATGCTAAAATCGTGTGCAAAGTTAAATTTAAGTTTACTTACTAGCGTACACAGCTTGGACATTGATTAAAATAGAGGCATCAGAGTTAGCAGTTTCTAAATAGCGGTTCCCTAAATAGCAGCAGCTTCATGTACCCACCAAAAATAAGCTACAGTTGTTCTAAGCTTGAATAAAAATATACTAGATTTAAAGCAGTAAGTTAGGCAAACAATACAACCAACTGACACCACTGCTACCATTTGGTAGAATAATGTCACTGACTTCATTGACCAAAAAGCATCATATGCTTTCACAAAGGGCTAAACAACCTCGAGCTCAATAAGTCATCGAGCTCGACTCGCGAGCTCAATAAGCTCGACTTGTCGAGCCTGTTAACGAGTCGAGTCCTAACTGGCTTGACTCGATTACACCCCTATAACCATATAATGATGCATAATCAAGTTTACCAAGTTAAGATTATATCACATTGCATAAATGGGCAATGTCACCTAATATATGTTAACATTCATATGACATCAAATCAAGTATGCTCATTTGTTAAGTCATGTATAGATATATATGAGTATACTTGTGTGTATGTATGTGAAAAGTACACATCAATCCTACAAAAACCTAATAATTTCTCCAAGATGCATTTATCATTCAATAAATAATTATTAACCTAAGTTCTCATATTAAACATGCACCCATAATTATAGATATTATAAATAAAATAGAAAAATAAATAAAAACTAATTAACATAATAACAATCTATCCCACATATTAACCTCTAAATAATCTAGATTAATTTCAATCATATAAAAGTAAACCTACCATTAAGATCCTTAAACAAAAATTTTCTCCAACATCTTCATCAAAATAATGATATAACATCATCTAATTACAATATTTAATCCTAATCTAATCTAATAAAAAATTGATTACAAATTAAAATAGGGAATCTCCTCTCAATAACTTGAGAGAAGGAGATGAGAGGGAAGGAGAAAGGAATATCTACAAAGAGATGATGATAACAATGGCTCATGAATTTTTGGGTACAAAAGGAGGAGGCGTCTCTGCTATATGGCTTCAATCAAAGGAGAACAAAGAAGGCGAGGAGGATCTTCTCTAATAGTTGCTCGATCGAAAGAAAGATGAGAGAGTTGCGGAAGAGAGGGGATGCGATGGCCCTAATTGGCTAGGTTTTAAGATTTTTTTAAATCGCGTCCAAAACGGCTAGGGCGGGAGAATCAACGCGATTTCTTGCATTAATAGCAGGAGGCAGCACGGTTAGGGCAGATCACGTGAAGAATGGAGCTCAGCCAAGCTAGGTCCTTGCGAATGAAAGCAAGGTCAGGTTTTTGCAGATAACACTACCAATGGAGAGATGAGAACCTACACCTACTTAGCGTTCTTGATGGAATGCGCCCAGATAAGAAAATGTTAACTCCATTTTTTCTTTTTTTTTCTATATGAATTAGATTTAATTTAATATATAAATGTGTGAACGATTTTTAAATCCATTGTTTTTGCCGAGGAAAAGGGAAACAATCCACCAAGATTCTAATTGAATTTTGATCGCCCAACCTGACGCAAAAATAAAAGCTTCTATTATATCAATGAAGCCATCATGATGCGCATTAAGTAGTTTGTCAAACAATAGGAATCATACTCAAATCTGATCACTGAAATTGGCTGGCCCTTGGACTCTACAGGCCCAGATGAGATCACAGCCAATTTGAGTTTTTTAAAAGTAGAAAATATTTATACAATAATGTGAAAAGTAGAACCACGTTCAGCTTCCGGAGTTGCAGAGAAAAAGAGCAGAAAGCTATTAATCTCACGCGACTTCCCTGCAAAACTTATGCTGTTCCACCTAAATTAAACAACCTGGCAAGAGATAAAAAAAATGAAACAAAATCAAATTGTTATGCAGCAAGTAAAGATCTTGCAGGACGAGACAGAAATCTGACTCACCGGTAAAATCACTTGGAGCCCTTCTTCCACAATCCTCCAATCTTCCTCAGCATATTGCCATTCTTCCTCTTAGGTGAATCATCATCCAGTTCATCAGAGAAAGGGGAGCTTATGAGCTTCCCAGAGAGGGAATTGTAGTCAGAATCAAGAGATCCCGTCCTTTCAACTATCCTTCCATTGTTTCCTGGAGTGAGAACTGCTGCAGCTGCTTCGGCTGCCTTTCTCCACTGATCAGACTGCACCCTAAGCCTCTTCAGCTCGATCTCCATCTCTGATTTCACTGCCTGAGCAGCCTCAAGCTGCTCTGAAAGCTTCGTTGCCTTCTTGCTAATTTTTTCAGCCTCCCCGTTTACAACTTCCAGTCTCATCAGTGCTTCATGTTCTGCAGCTTTTGCTTTCTCTGCATCCGAGATAGCTGCAGCGTAATTCTTTTGATGCTTGATGTCTCTCTTGCTGAGCTCAGATTTTATCTGTTCATTCTCTTCCATGATGCTTTGCAGCTGTGTCTCCTTATCCAAGATGTTTGCTTTCAGTTCAGTAACATCGGTAGTAGCCTTTATAAGCCTCATCTCCGATTCAAATTGGCTCGCTTTTGCCTCATCCATTTCATCTTTCAGCTCCTTATTTATCTGTGATATGCCTGGGAGTTCTGTCTCTAAGCTAAGAAGGCGTGCTTTCAACTCAAAAAGCTCTGCCTTTGTTTTCTGTAAGGTTGATTCAAGTTCCAATTCCCTTAGCCCTGCATCAAACTTCACATGCTCAGCCATCTCAAATGCAGATTGGATCTTCATTGTGGTTTGAATTTGTTCCTCCTGAAGCTTAGCCTCAGCTGCTTCGAGCGCAGCCCTCAATTGTTCCAATTCAGATTGTGATGCAACAGACTCAACTTCAAATGGAGGCTTCCCTCTTTCTATTTCATCATCTTCCACAGAAGACTGGAGTTCTTTCACCATTTCCTCAAGTGCATTAATTCGAACTCTAGATTCTTCCAACTTGGATGTTTCAGAGTTTAGGTATTCTTGTAGATTGCATCCCTCACTACGGAGACTCTCAATGGTGGTATTGGCCATTTCTAGCTCCTTCTGGGTCTCATAAGCTGTCAGCTTTGCCTCTTTCTCTGCCATCTCTTTCTCATTAATCTGAACTTTAAGGTTCTCAACAGTGGAGAGGGCAGTCTCCATAGCTTTTTTCAAGGCAACTAATTCATTTTGTTCACTCTCAAAATCCTCCACATGGGATGTTTCAGATTTCAAAACCATATCGAGCTGCTGCTTGAGCTTTTGAATCTCATTCATGGCGGACCCAAGAGCTGCAGAGTCATTTGAACGCTGTTCCTGGAGGGCTTCAAGCTCAGATTGCCATGCCTTATCACGCTCCTGAGAAATTTGGTGAAGTTGTTGAATGCGATCATCCTCAGCAGCAGAAAACTCCACAAGCTTGCATTCTGTCTCCTCAAGCTTCTCTTCCATGGCTTTGAGCTGTTTCTTGGCCTCTTCAGATTCCAGTTGTACCTTTTTCTTCAATGATTCAGATGAGTTCAACTGATCCTTTGTTTTCTTCAGTTCATCTTGGAGTTGTGCGACCTGGTGTTCTAGGTCGCTTTGCCTGACCAGCCTCTTCTTCTGAAATCCAAAAAGGGTAACAAGGATTTTAAGTCTTAATCCACAACAGCAGAGATCATAACCAGTGCTAAAATGATGAAAAAATGAATAAAAATTCTACCTAAAAATCCATTATGTTTCAACAAAAACTGCCACACAACTAATTCTTGAATAACAATATTGAATATCAAATTCAAACTAGAATTTGTTCCTATTTGCAGTTTACATAAGCAGCAAATCAATTTCGTAAAGTTGTGGTTTATTACTATACCTCAAAGTTGGGGCTTTTGGGCGACCGGCGCTCGGTGATCTTAGGACTTTTTTCAGCTGAGGACTTTCCTGGTGTGAGCTTGGAAGTGACTGAATCAGACTCAGTTGCAATTTTCTTTGATCCACGAGATGATTTAGGGGTGATAGGAGATGTCTTTTGAGGAACTTCTGATGACCCATTTCTAATCCAAGAAAATGATTGTAGTTCAGAAAAAAAATTGATTGCAATGAAGACTAAAAATAAAAGTAAATGCAAAGTTATTGCACATTTGGTTAGCTTGAAATACTTTGAGCATGGCTTAAGATGAATGTATTATACATTAAGCACATAGTGAAATTCATTTTAAGGGGCTGTTCAGTATCCTTTATTTGGAAGGATTGAAGCAAAATCAAATCTTGAAAAATAAAATTTTGGGACTTAATTTTATTGGTTTGATATCTTTTTTTCATCCTTTTTATTGTTTAAAAACAAGATTTGTTAAATTCCACCATTAAACAGATTAAATGGATTTTAAGATTTCTCCTCTCAAAAATCTTATAGCCTGAAACAAAAAATCAAATAGTTTATCAAGATTTAACATTATTATGTCAAAAAACTTTGAAATTTTGATCCTATCAAGATTTTGATCATCTCCAGCCAAAGGCCTAACACTCGTTTGGCGTCCATCATTTGCTCCAGTTGATGGGCAAAAATAATGCCATTCGCGTGAGGGTGAATAATTTTTTTTAATCCGAAAATTAGGTTAAATAAAAATATGATAAAGAATATACACAGATTATTTTTTTTTTATATTAGAAAATGGAGTTCGATGGAAATGAGTTACTGCATTTTGGAGTTAAAAATTGATTTTTTCGGTTGAAGGTTGCCTTAATTCATTTGGATTTGCATGATTTACTAAATCCTACTTGGATAAAACCTATTTGCAGCAAAAAAAATCCCTTATTTAGCATAGAAAAAATACGGAAAAGAAAATTTCTTCAAGTTGTGAGAACCATATGGGCAATGGAAAAACAATAGCTAAAATCCATTTGGAAATGTTAGATATGGTGACCAGAATAATGTCATCACTTCTCCTACAAAGATGGATGATTTCCTTTACAAGGGATGTGAAATGTCTTCAGTTTCTTAGCACAATTTCCACATAAATTAAAATGGCAATACGATAGGCTTATGAAAAGCAAAGAAGTTCAAAAACATTCTCCAATGAAAGACTAAACCACTTCTGAAGTTCTGATGGATATTATAATGAAAGGGAATAGCTCAAACAAAAATGCAGACTTTAGTAATGGACATAGATGTCATAAGTTAAAATTAGTACAGTAGAAACTACGTTGAATTTGATATAAACAACAAAATTCATTTATTATAAAAAGGGGAACAATGAACTTAAGATCTGCAGTGAAGCATTTATTACTCATTAGACACCTAAAGTTCAATCTACAAAAACTTTCCAACAGCAAGCCCACCCAAAAGTTACGAAGGTCCCACGGATTCATAACAAGAAAACAAGCAGAGCCAAGAAACTCCAGAGCAGAATCAGGTCATGTGAAAAACTTTTAAAAGAACCAGAACTCACAAGCATCACAACTACTCTGAGATATGATAAGATGCCAATCAAATAAAAAAATAAACTTTTGCTCCCATCCTTTGCCTTCAATGCCACATGGATCCATTGGACATCAACTAATCAGACTAAAACAAGTACTAAAATAACAAAATGGCAGAAGCTGAGTGTTAAAAAACCTGGCTTTAGATGTCTGCATCTTATCTTTCCTATGAACTGTGAAGGCTTCTTCCTTGCACGTTACAAAGCTGCAGAAACAAAGAAGCAGAAGCGTTTATAGAGAAGCAGAGATAACGTAGAGAGAGAGAATCCATTACATATGCGATAGGTTAACCAAAAGTCTTTTTTAACGTTACCAGTTATGACCTTAGAAATAAACAGAATACTGGAGGGAAAATTCGTTGAAATGTAGGGATAATCCCAGGAAAAAAAAAATCTATCTCCATTCATAGAGATGGAGAGGGTAAACAGAAAACCAGTGAAAAAGTAAAAAAGAAAAATGGTATTTTTGAAGCTAGGGTTGAGGGCCATATCTGTACAGTGGGGTCACACAAGCAGGGCACTCACTAATGCCGTAAGATTGGGGTTATTGATTCTTTTTAAATCATTCCATAAACAGTAATATCTCAAATTTTAAATTGCATATGGTAGGATAAAATGAACTTAAAAGGCAAGAAAATGTTTCAAATGTGGACACTTGAATACTTTAATCCCTTCTCTGTAACCCTAATTACCTCTAGGCTTTAATTAATTGGACAATGGAGGGGAAAAATAATTGAAAGCAGAAGACTTTGATGGACACTTCCAAAACTCGGATTTTTAGCAGAGACAAAAAACAAAGAAAAAAAAAAGAAAAAGTAGAAAAAAGCAACACCATCAGCTTCAAACACTCTTCTGCTCCTTTGTGAGTTTTATCTACCCTTCCAAATACAGAAGAGCTCAAAAAATACGGTGTACATAACGGAAGGAAAGATCCATGAAGCCAGCATTAACACAAAAAAGAGCATAAAAAACAGAAAAAAAAAATGCCTTGAAACAGACAGGCTTCCCACTCTGTTCAAATTCTTATCCCTAAAAGCAGAGATAACTACTCATCTTCTGCTACATTTCTTCATGTGCCATTCCTCCACTTGATTACCACACAAAAAATTTCTCTTCTTGCCCAAAATATACATTAAGAGCCAAACAAAGAGGACGAAAATACGGAAATCACGGAAAGGAGAAAAAAACTCACCTCCTCGTCGAAGGCCAGAGAGCTCTCGCCCGGCCAGTCCGGTCTCGCCTATCCTTTTCGTCCTCTTCCTCACGCCGCTGCTGAGGTTTCCGGTAAAGGGAGCAGAGGAAAGGGTAGCATTGCTGGGAGAGAGAGAGAGAGAGAGGGGAAGAGTGAGTGAAAGCTTTATAAATTGCAGATAATACTGTGTGCCGCAGTTCTCATACTGAGCCTCCCCGCGCGTGCTATTAATTGAGTTGTACAATTTCCTCGTGTCCGAGACGGTGATTTTTTGTTCACCGTGTGGTGATCCTATCCCAGGAGTGGGAAATCGTCGTGGACGGAGAGAGAGAGAGAGAGGGGAAGAGTGAGTGAAAGCTTTATAAATTGCAGATAATACTGTGTGCCGCAGTTCTCATACTGAGCCTCCCCGCGCGTGCTATTAATTGAGTTGTACAATTTCCTCGTGTCCGAGACGGTGATTTTTTGTTCACCGTGTGGTGATCCTATCCCAGGAGTGGGAAATCGTCGTGGACTGAAAATCTTTAAGAAAATTTTTAAAAGTAAGAATGGTGTTAATTATAATTAAGCAATGTTTAAAATTGTATATTCAGGTATTGATGCGTTTTTCATTCGTGAGGTGAGGCGTAAGCCTCAAGGCGTTTTGAGACGTAAGCCTCAAAATCAAAAGATTGCGTAAACATAAAATAATAAATTTTTTATATACTAATGAGTGAATAATATAAACATAAAAAAGCATAAGATATGAAGTGAAATCAAAATATCTCAATAATAAGACAACATGAAATATAGTTCAACTCAAAATTCTATCTTTTCCAAATCCCAGTATTATTTTCATTAACATATAATTCCAATTTCTAAAAATAAATAGCAATGACATATCACATAAGAACTCATAAGTCATCAGCACTGTCATCACTAAGGGGTTCTTTATTTGAATCATCATTATGATGAACTGCTCTCTCCCATTCCTCCTCTCCAATAGATTCCAATGCCGGGCATTTACTTCAAGATTTATGTAAGTTTTAATATATATAGCATGAGGTGTAAGCCTCATGTCAGTGAGGCGAGGGATTCCACATCGACATAAAAGGAGGCATTAGTTTTTAGTATCATGTATCTTTTAGTTGCTTTAATTAGATTTTGTTGTTTATGTATCTTATTATGCTACTATGAAACTACTGTTTTGTATCATGAAATTCATTATGCTCTTGCATTTAGTCCTAGATGAAATTTGATATAAATCTATAAATCATAATTTATAAGTTTTGAGAAACATATATCAAAGGAGTAAAATTATTTTAAGTTATAAAAATATGCTATAAATTATAGATTTTTTAAGATTTTGAAGTTATATAAATCAATAAATCATAAATTATATATATAGTAAATGCATCTTTCCTTCAAAAAATAGATCATATGATACTTAATCATAATCCTTCTCAGCCCTAACTAATACAAATCCAAAAACCTTAAAAATTTTAGAAATAACAAACAAGCAGCTACATTTTCATATTCATACAGACATATACATAGACTATCAAAAAACTTACAAAGATCATCGATAGCAGGCTCAAATCACACATATAACTACTCTGAAATTAGGTTAATAGCATAATATATGAAAGCTTTTGATGTGAATCAATCATGCGATGAAATGTGAATTGCACTTAAAATTAATTGAAATATTGAATCAAAGCTTGCTAATAAAACTTTATGCGTAATCAATTGAAATTCAAGAATTAGAAAACGAATGATTACGTAACAACAAGAAATCACAGTCCGAGATTAGAAAGCTTTTCAAAATAACATCAAAACGACACATTGCCAATCCCCATCATCAAGAAAGTTCTTCCTTTATCTACTAGGCAGAAAACTCAGATTATCATATGTCTTTATCAGGAATGCATCAACATTAGAATATCATTTTTGATAAAGGATACAATTAGCAACATTAGTTGTTGGGTTGGCCATGATGTCCTCGAACGATCCATCATCACGATGTTTAATTTCAATAAATCTAACCTTGAGAGTGTTAATCGGTGGTAAATGTGCTGCATAATATGAAACCTCCCTTTGCACATATTCCAGCCTTTCTCATTCAAACCCGGTCCATCTTTGTAAGATGGATGCCTCATAAGATCCAGGTGTATCTCCCATAGTTTGCAGTCCACCTTATATGACCAGGAATGTACACAACACCGGTATATTCTATTCATTCTAGCCTTTTTACTCTAATGCACCATCAGTTTGAAATGTTAAACATTTATGAATTCGATTGCTACCCTACATAATCAACTGCTTTGAAGAAACTTTTTCAAATACATACCTTTTGCTTTGATACATTTTTATATAGATGCATGATACTAGTTTTTTTTTTATCATAACAAGAAATGGATAGTCAATTTATAGGAGAACTCCATATGGATAGTCAATTAATAGCTAAATGAGTTAGCATGGTAAATTGCCTGTTTAACTAGCGACTTATTGGCGGTAGATCTTCCCGTTACTTACAAGATAACGACTAGCTGAGTCAGCATAAGTAACTCGCTCGTTTAACGGGGGACTTACGGGCAGTAGATTTTCTCGTTACTCGTACGCTCATACAATATATAATGGCTTGTTGAGTCAGCAGAGTAAGTCTCCCGTTTAATGGGCGACTTACTTAAAATTAAAAAGTCATCCGTTAAACAAACAACTTTGGCTAGTTTAAATTTTTTTTTTTCGTTGGTTAATCGCTTAATTATATTCTAAATGATATTTTAAAAAATTGCCAAAATCTTTAAAGGTACTGGGTTGAGTAACCTCCCATGGTTCGTTACATTGTTGCTGCCAAAATTTATTATCTAACATTCATATAATTTTAAAAATATAAATAATTTTTTTTTTTTTTAGAATTTTGATCAAAATAAATATAAACTCACATATTATATATATAAGCTTTAAATTCAAAATCTCTTGATTGATAGCTTAAGATCTCAAGATAGGCTATATAATATATAAAGACAAATGTCTTTATTTTTTATCCATCTCAACATTAATCATTGGTGTCATTATTTACTTAGTAATATTAAAGACACTTTTCGGATATACATATTACCCACCACCCATTCTGTCCTAATAAGCTTGAAAATCCTTAAATCAGGTTGCTTTAATGTCTTTATTTTTTATCCATCTCAACATTAGTCATAGGTGTCATTATTTACTTAGTAATATTAAAGACACTTTTCGGATATACATATTACCCACTACAAATTCTATCCCGATAAGCTTGAAAATCCTTCAATAAGGTTGGTTTATTTGTTTATTTGTTTTTTTTTTTTCCTTTGTGTCATGCAATGCCTTGTTCATAGCCATTGGTAGAATTTATGTTTTATTTTCATATACTAGCTCTTTTGTCTATAATAATTCTCTAATTCTCCCTCCCCTTAGAATAATGACCTTGTCCTCAAGGATCATTTTGGTTCATTGTACTAAGTTTTTTTCAAGTTTAAGTGGTGCCTTAGGTGACCAATTATGAGGTGAGGATGAATTGCATCTGCAATATAGGGTGATTATCTCATAAAGTTGGTGATAATAGGTTGGTGTGCAGGAAAGAATTGATATGGAATAGATTGAATAGTTTCAAAAGGAATGCATATGCTCACAAATTTTAAATGGTCCATTGTAGCATCAAGTAATCAGAAAATATCCCGAGTAATAGGAAAATGTCCCAAATAATAATCTTTTAAAGGACCTCCATCACTTCATTCATAACTTTGGTTGGCTTTGAATCTTCCAATGCATCCTGCACACAACTAGGAATGGATATGAGGATAATTGATTAACAATAAGAGCATATGCATATGATAGGCTCAAGAGGAGACTTGTTTACCAATTGGGTTTTTTCTTTAGCTTTCGCTACATATTACATTTTTTGGGACACCTCTAGTGTACCTCTTTAGATAATTTTTTGGATTTATTATTAATAAGCTCAAGTATTTCATCGACTCATTATTATGAATGAAGTTATCTTAAGAAGAATATTTTGAGTTGATTATTTTATTAATAGCATAGATATACAATCAGTACATATAAAATGATTAATTGAGACAGTCTTGATCACTCAAAAACTCAAACTCATAAGATACAAGGAGAGCCTTACAACCTTAATATATTTAAAATTGATCATGAAACCTAACATTTTAATCCTTATAAATTAACATCACAACACTATATCTTAAAGTATAATCAAACTATTACTCATCTATCTCAAATAAGCCACTTTCATCATGAAATGAGCTCTTCTCTCCACTATAATTCTCCTCATGAAAAGAAAACTTGGAAACACCTCTTGAATAGTAGGAATAATTCTTAAAATAAAACACTGAGGTTAACATGTAATTTCTTTGTTTAGGATTGTGACACTTATAATCCCTTTTTTAGTTTAAAATATACAACAATACACGCCATTTTGTAAATGGATCAAGTTTACTTCACTTAACCTTATACATAATAGACTATACAAGTAAAAAATTTATGGTTAAGTATTTAAAATATAAGAAATAAATAAAAAAGATTGTATCTTTAATTGATGTGTTCAAATCTCTATCACATTAGGTAGTGTTCGGTTAATAAGATATGTTTTTAATTTACTAACTCACCCAAAAAAATTAGGCAAATTCATACCAACTAGTGAAGCCCAAATAATCTCTATTGTTTATATTTTTTAACTAACCCATTGTGTTGTGGTTTGTTATATAGGATGTTTGATGTCAAGTTCCATGTCAATTTAAAAATATATCTAAATTAATATCCATGAACTCATTTCCATTTTTTTTAATTTTCATGCCCAAATCTATCTTTGGTATAAAGTATTCATGATACTATGGAATTCTTAAGAAAGTTACACATACATCACTTTTGTTTTGAAGATTAAATATTCAAGTTACTTGAGTATATTCATAAATAAATATAATAAAACAATAATCATTAGATAGAGATGTAATTTTTATGGGACCTCATAGATTAAAGTGAATAACTATAAAAGATTTTGAGTTTTTACTTAAGCATGGTAAATAAGATATATGATGGTTATTAGCTAATTAACATGCATCATAATAAAAAAATCAAAGATTTTCAAACAACAAAATAAATGTGATTTAAATTTACTTAAGAAAACCAAAGTGAAATGTCCTTTCCTTTAGAGTTTAGAGCAATGGC